TCAACTACAAGGTTGTTGTAACAAGCTGATCTAAGTCAAACTTTTCCATGCAAGTAGCACTTTTGAATTTTTATCATTTTTTGAAGTTTGCCTTAGGCCCATGCAGAAACGCATAGAGAATTTCAGTGTTATGCGTTTCTGCATGGGGCATCTAAAATCAAAACATCATCGAATTTCATCGCAAAATAATGTTAACTAGCGAGAAATGATTGTAACAACCTGATCTAGGTCAAACCTTCCCATGCAAGTAGCACTTCTTTATTTTTATCATATTTTGTAGTTTGCTTTAAGCCCATGCAGAAAACCATAGAGAATTTCAGTCTTATGCGTTTCTGCATGGGTCATCTAAAATCAAAACATCATCGAATTTCATCGCAAAATAATGTTAACTAGCGAGAAATGATTGTAACAACCTGATCTAGGTCAAACCTTCCCATGCAAGTAGCACTTCTTTATTTTTATCATATTTTGTAGTTTGCTTTAGGCCCATTCAGAAACGCATAGAGAATTTCAGTCTTATGCGTTTCTGCATGGGGCATCTAAAATCAAAACACCATCGAATTTCATCGCAAAATAATGTTAACTAGCGAGAAATGATTGTAACAACCTGATCTAGGTCAAACCTTCCCATGCAAGTAGCACTTATTTATTTTTATCATATTTTGTAGTTTGCTTTAGGCCCATGCAAAAACGCATAGATAGTTTCAGTGTTATGCATTTCTGAATTTGGCATCTAACAAGAGGAACGGGTGTCTAAATGCAAAACACCATCGACGATAATCGTGAAAAAAATATTAATGATAGGGGTTGGATAAATTACCTTGATTCGATTAAAGTCCAGACACAAATTGCCATTTGTATTAGCATTAGTTGAAATTTAGTAATTTTCACCAAAAAGCAATACTGGTATTTTTATGGAAGTCAACGTTCGACCATTTTGCTTCAACCGCTACATTCCAATTTTCGTTACCCCTAAACCTTTAAAAATTAAAAATTAAATGGCAGAATTAAAAATGTTTAGAGAATTTGTTTTTGCCAGGGATGGCGCTATCGAGGAAGTTTTAATGTATTGATGTTTATGTCTTACATTATTGCTGACAAAAGATATGCCAGTTTTTCGAAAGAAAAAATAGAAATAATCGCACAAATTTAGAAAATCTTTTAGGGGCAAAGCAGCCTATCAATGCAGGTTTTTAAAGACATTTTGAATGTTCTTACATCGCTTTTCTATCTCACTTGATAACGGGCTATGCTCGAAGCGTCGTTAATTATTTTAAAAAATGTTTCCTGGTACAATTTACCTACATTGATCGTTATTTAAATTCATCATATTATACCGCACGCATTTTAGTATATTAACAGAATTCATTACTTGAAATGATGAATCAGGAACAAATTGGTAGAGAAGCAAAACGTACATCATTTTACGTAGAATTATTTCCTTTATAGCATATCCAAAATCGCCTATAATCCAACTTGGGGAAAACTTTTTCTGAAACTTTTAAAAACATGAGCTTTTTTACCATATGCAAACAAGGATAAAAAATGTTTTTAGCCAATCAGAGCGTTACTGTTGCGGCTGATTCGATGCTATTTTCTCTTCAGATTTCTATTGTCTTTGACGCTATACCATTGGCTGGTTCAAATTGTAAACAAACAGTCTGATTGGCTCAAAACATTTTTCATCCTTGTTCCATATGCACAATATCATCTGCCGAGGGATTCTTCAAAGTATGAATAGCTTGCAACAATTCAAGGCGTAAATTCTGAATTTGGAAGCTTAACAGATATTCGAGTCGACAATAGAGAAATAAAATTGAGTATCAGGGCCCGCACCACCGGGACCGGAGGGGCCATGACCCCCTACTTTTTTGGTAAGCAAAAATATTTCCATAGAGGTCCTGTTTTGAAGCCCTAAATTCAAGTTCAATGTATAGTACTTGGCCCCTCCACTTGAAGTTCGTGGCATGGGCCCTGAGTATAGGTTGAACAGTGGCAAAACATCAAGTCTTGTTGCTAACCCGCCAAAATTTTTGAAAATTTTTAATTATAAATGAGAATACTAATTTTTCAACAATTTCACAGATAGATCAATTCTGTCTTTTAAGGACCTCTGGTATTTGGAATTCTTTGCACAGCATGAAACGTGAAAAGCAGTTGTCATGATATATGATTATATATATATATTGCATCTGCTGCTACAAGATCAATGCTGCCGTGAAGGCGAGGTTATACATTTGCAGTCCACGAATAATGCAATGCCGCATCCTTCCAGAGCTTTTCTTGTATTGGTATCGTTGTGACACAGTTTTCTAGCACCACTGCTAGGGGGTACGGGCCCTAGGCCCTAGAGCTAAGTCATCACGAGTCCCCATTTTGCAGCAAAGGCCCAACGCCCTTGCTCTGATAATGAAAACCAAACCATTTACAAAAATTTGCAATTCTCTGGTTGTTCTAGATTGACAATGTTTGCCATGCAAAATATTGCAATGAATATAGAGATAGAACGGTGGCATAACGGAGGCAGTATGGGCCCCTAGGGGTTTTTCAGGTCAGGCACAAGTGATTTTAAGAATTTTTGAAACAATATAGACAAAAACATAAATCAACAGACTTTCCAGTCAATTAGGTTGCGATATCATGTAGTCCCTAGGCCCCTTGAAATCATTTATCATATCCAGCTTCACAGTACTTCACAGTAAAATAACACAGGAAGAATTTGCTGGGGCCCCCTAAGTTGGAGGCCCCTGAGGTTGGGAGCCCATAGTTTTTGAACTAAAGACAGCTTTTGCCTATGTTACGCCACTGAGATAAAACAAGTTAAAATATGTTTTATAGTTTGTCTTACATCAAGTGATTTGCGAAGCCTCTTTTTTAGCCTTGCTTTGCCATTTCTTTTCACACGAGTGTTATTTTTCAGCCCAAGCACAATTATTTCCTGAACCAAAGCATGATGCACTATCTCAATCCAGATCTAAACTTTTTATTAGAAATAATTAACATTAAATTTGATGCAGAGTTAATTGAAAGGTAAAGATGAATAATAAAGAAACTTTTAATTTGCTTTTTAAAATAGGTCATTACTCAAAAACGGTTTAAAATGGGTCAGAAACTATATGGGTCATAACTCACCCATATAGTTTATAATTTATTGTCAAAAAAGGGGGTGCTCTCTCCTCGATTAGTTTTGCTATTGAGAAGGTTCCTCCTTAAGAATTACCCTTCATACAAATCCTCCAATGCCATGTACCTTTGTTCTTTAGTTTATGTATCGTTTTATGTATTTATTATCTGTATCTTAATTTGTATTCAGCAGTTTTAATTTGTATATAGAGGAATTTAAAATCAGTCAACTTAACTGAACAACTGAACTGAATGGAACCTAAAATTACCCGATAGATATAATCGATAGATGTTCCCCAAAGTTATTTCCGCAAGAGGCCACAATAATTCCATATATATACAATGAAAAAAAATCCAAACAACATGCCGCAATAAACCGATAAAGGAGCGATGTTGGGTCGTTATGGCTGCAATAAAGGAAATTAAACATATTCTTAATAAGTTCTTAATTAAGCATACACCCACCAAACCAAAAACAAATTCAATCGATAACAATTGTGCGACTGAATGAAACAAAAGGCCCATACCAATTTTATACAAAAAATTATGGCGTAATACGTATTATGTATTATGAGCATTACTCAAGTTGTCCTTGACTAATGGTGTACAACCATTAGTAGAATTAACTGGATAATGGAGCGAGGATCGGGTGATCTCGATGATCCGGGGTGGTGCTAGAAAAATTTCTCAGGGGAATGTCAAGCGTCAGGTTGCCTTTTTCAATTAGATAAAATGAAGACAAACTCTAAAGGGACCTTCTTTCCTGTTTACTAAATATTGACTTCATGATTCTTGAACAATTTATCTGCTGTTAGTGTGAATGAAAATTTTGAATTTTTCATTTATTTTGAAGATCGGATCGTTTTTTTTAGAATACTCCGTTTATCCCAAAGCGTGAAGTACTGTAACTAAATAATTCCTTAATAATAGCAGTCTAGAGCAACATCATAATAAAAAAAATTAAGCATTGGTTTATAATCAGGGGTAGACAACCTAAGGCACGTGGGTCAGAATATCTCAGTTTTCCCTTTTGAACTTACGATTGTGGTAGTCTTGTCTTCTATACCCTGGCTAGCCAGTTGCAAACTATTTATGTAATAGAGCGGATTGTAATAGTATTGTCATTGAATTTAAATGAATACTTTTCATTATTATTATTATCATTTTAAAGCAATTTCGTAGCCATTTTTCTTGTTATCTTTGGCCTGCTAAAAGAAAAGGTTTGAATGATATGGCTCACCCTGCAAAAAGGCCGACCCCTGGCTTATATACTTCAGTTTGATAACATAATGATATCAGAGATAGTGAATAGACACAGGCGCACAAGGCCAGTAGTAAAAATGGTATCGCGATAGGCTTTCCTTTAAGAAACTTTCTTTGATATCATGATATTACAAAGCTTCCTTCATTCAGTCATTAAAAAGAATAGGAGCCACATTTACTGATGCAGGTTACGTTTTGCCATTGCGACACGAGTGATAAACAAACACACGATGGTAACTGCCTGAGGTGGTACCATGGTTGCAACGTTCGCTGGAACTCCTTCTCCTTTTCACTGGTTTCAGTTTGCCAATTTACAGTTTAAATATTGACGAGCCGAGGAGCAAATCGAAATGTAATCGATATAACATCGACTATCATTGCCGAGTAAAGAACTGATTCATAACTCTTGGGGATGTCACGACCCAAAAAAACCCCATCCCTTGTAGCACTGCCCTTGTCGATGATATGGAAACGTAGCCTTACGACTTACTTTCTGGTGTATGTGGCATATTAATCTGAGGGAAATTTTTGACCTTCATTTCTTTATTTTTGAATTAATTTTTTTATTCTCAAGTTAGATTGTTAACAAGAAGTTGACATTGAATCGCCCATTTGAAGTCCAGCATCAACACTGATTGGTTGTTATTAGGCGTTGTTGTTGTCGTGTTCGGTACAAAAACGCAGAACGTGATGGCATATTGAGAAAGTGATTTGATCAGCTAAACTTGTTTGTCATGGTAGTAAAACACTGTCCAAGCTGTAATAATACGGTGAGAATCAACTAACACTGTTCTGCCAGCTTTATCTACTCGTTATTTTTGCACTTTAAGGATAAATCTTTCTGAATTTTGCGGTAGCTTAAGAACCGAGAGGCTTGAAAGCTTTCCTTAGGCCATAAAGCATTTCTAGATCTTTTTGCCGCGAGGACTTTGTTTATGTAATTAAGGTCAAATTATATAAAATGATCCAGATTATAAACAGCGCATATTTCAGTTAGTTTGGAAAGACTGTTGAAAAAGAGAAAGTTGGTTCAATCAATACTTGTATATTGATTGTACAATTGTTAAAGGTCATTTCACCCAACAACCTTCTGTAACTTGAGCTACTTGAAAGATATCAAGAAGATTTGTTCATAGTTAGCTCCAATATTTTCAGTCTACAAGAAGCATAGCACTTCTGTCTATGGTTTCTTTGATGTTTTGAAATTTCTGCCTATTTTACAGTTAACATGAATAAAAGCAAATGTCTTTCTAAGTTTTTGGCTTCAAAATCTATATACAATATTTCTAGACCAAGATAAAATTTTATCAAAAAGTCAAGGCTGCAAAACTTTTGCAATGCTTTTTAATCAAGGCTGCAAAACATGAAGATGAGGGGTAAATTTTTAAACCAAATTAACTTGATTTTTTCAAAATTTTTATCAAGCACAAGTTATTCAATTTTTTAAAGGTTTTAATTTCATTAAGGAAAGTTTTCAAACTTGACCAAATTTTCACTTTCTGGAGCCAGAAAAAACTTATTGATTACATGAAACATTCTAAAAAAATATTTCAGAAACCTAATTCTTGGGAAAGGCTTGCGATTAAACTGACACACTATGGTACACCTCTCCCCCACACTGAGGAGTGTGTTTAATCGCACACCTATTTGTTTCTCTTTTAACCAAAAAAAGAAAACTAATAAGGTGACAAAAAATAATAAAATATTATGTTTCTAGGAATTTTAACATGTTTCACAAATCTGCTCCATCAGTCTGATTATCGTGAACTTGACTGGCAGTCTGGCAGATTTCATTCAAAGTAAGATTACCTTTAAGTAAGGCTGCAGAAACCATCTTTATACTCTGAAAATTTACAAGCATCTTCTAGTCTCACTTGTTAAAACTAAGTCACGTTTTCAGCACAGACCTGTGCTAACATGCACATGTTTCTAAAATACTATTTTTAAATGGTTGAATTTTTATACAAAAGGTTTCAAGTTTTCACTAGTCTTTGAACATGACAAGGCTTCTGTCATTTCTTCTGATCTATGTTCTTAGTTTTGCGTCTTCAGCAAAGAAAAGTAAATGGGTCTAAAAGAAGCTCTCCATATTCCTGAAGTGGGGCGTGGATTAAACTATACTGTTGAAGCCGGCAACAATAAGCAATATGTAACAAGGTTAGCACAAGTTGTAGGCAAAATATCATGGCCAAAATATCATGGCCTGATCATCAGGCATCCATCATGCCAATGAGCGCTCATGAGCTGCAGCTATTTTTATGAATGCATTTGTTGGTTGCCCTTGCTAGAAAGTTGGCTTTTTGCACACCATGGTATAATTTTCTGACAGGGATGTGCTGTTTTAAGACAATACCACACATTAATTTATGTTGTATCGTTTTCATATGGAAAGCGTGCCCATTATAAAATTCCATTTGCAATTGTTCTGTGACCAGCACAAAATAAAAGATATAAAACAGCAAGATATGATAAAGGTGTAAAACATCCAAGGGTTACAATTGAAAACAAAATAATATTGCTTTTGATTCAAAGAGAGGGAAATCTGCAAAAAATTGTTCTTTTCAAGAGATTTCACTGAAATGTTTCATGCCATTTTCAAATTGTGCAGTTTTCAAATTTTTTTCATACTTTTTCTGCTGAAACATGATTAAAAGGGGGAGCCAAAATATTAAGATTTTTCAGGGGTTTGGTAAAGGCTGCTATCATGTTTAGCAGCAAGAGGGTTTGCTGAAAATTCATCTAGAATATTTTCCACATCAATTTAGACTCATTAAAGATTCCAGGCAATATTCATAAGCTTACCTTTATCATTTTGCCACCAGATATTTTATTGTCAAAGTTGTGTGAAAGCTAAAACTTGAGAAATGGGGCTATTTATGGCTCCATATCTTATGTAACTAAACTTTTGTAGAAATAATACAAAACACCAATAGCACACCATCACACCCCTATAACAGTCTAGGAGTGCAAAATGCCTCACTTGTGCTAATTTATTCCCAGGATGGCCTGTTATTGATCCTAAAGGGGATGCGAAATCCTATTAAAACTTGAATCTTTGAGTTACGTCAGCATTACAAAGACAGTTATTTTATTAGTTTACCTTTTCAAAATTTTAATTTTTTTTCAGTCCAAATCAATCAAATTAAACGTTTTGCCTTAATCAAAGTTTGTATGTAGTCAATAGCTGTCATATTACTGTGCATGCAGTGTATACTACTGTGCATGCAGTGTGCATACTACTCTGCAATACATAATTTTCACAGTACTGTTGCTATGCCGTTTCGCTTTGTAGGAGTCTCAGCCAAGTTTCATATATCTAACTATTTGGAGATACTTTTTGCTTGATAGACTAAATAAGTTTGTTGATATTTCAGTATCTTAAATCGCTGTATAAATCAATTTTCAGTTAGCTGTTGCTTGTAAGACTTGCCCTGCATGTGGTTACGTTTTTCAAGCCAAGAAGCCTTTAACAGCCAAATCGAGTGACAGTAAGTTTTTATTGCCAATACATGACACCATTTATGACTTGATTTGTCTTGATGTCATTCGATTTCATGAAACCATATACATTTCTTTTCTTTCCCATTTATGTTTTGACATTGCTTGATGTTGTGATCAGAAGCTGATTTAATGAACTTTGAATCTTGTCTCACTTTTATAAATTGTTTTATTATTACAATTGAAATGTTGGATTCTGCAATAAAGGATCGAAATACGGTTTTTAAAAGTAAAGTCATGGGTCGTGAAAATTAATTGAGATGCAGCTTAATACAGCGAAGTTTTTTTTATGGTACGAGGTGTTATGAATGATTTATACAGACCTACCACACATCCCTAACAAAGGAAAGGCAGAAAAAGTCAAGGTATGGGAGTTAATGGTAATTCTTTTGGCTGGATATCTGAAAGACAGAGGGGTATTGAGATCCTTAAAGTTTGTAATTTTCTAGAAAGAACGGTGATTTATGGGAGATTGAGGGAGTTATACTTACAGTGATTTCAAAGAGTAAGCGTTAGACGAAGATCTTTTGTCGGTGACACCTCAGATGTAACTGAGTTTTGAGAAGGCTCTGTTTCATTCTAGGGAAACCAGTTGTATTGGGTGAACGCCTTCGTCCAGAAAGAAGTAAGAAAGAAGTGCAAAAAGGAAACGATTATCTGTATCACAATGCAACTGTACATGGAGGTGATTTAAAAAAAGAAACGGAGGTTGTGCTAACTAGTACAGATTCGTTAATGGATTATCAACATCAAGCAAGAAAGCAAGCTAAAACGGAAAGTGTCAAGGCAACTGTAAGTGCATCTATTAGATGTCCTAAATGCTAATGATTTAATTAAACACGCATCTCATACCTTCGGATAGTTAAGAAAAATGACAACAAAAATTCCTTTTACTAGACAGGGCTCTTGAAAGACACAAAGCCGAAGCCGAAAAAATTAGGTAGTGGAACATTTATTTGCTCTTAGTGGCAAATAGCCAATCGGAACAACATTTAAGTGTACAACAGTCAATACCCCATCATTCAACCTTTTGGGTCTTAATTAAACATCATGCCACAAAGACTGAACGGTTCTCAACATCACTGAACAAATTTAGTTGGGTGGCCAGAGGGAATGGAACATTTGACTAAGCAACCATATTTAGTGCTGTTCAATCAGAAGCTCTGCTCGTTTGGTCATGGCTCAAGACAAATCTGAGTCAAATATTTCAGACTGAATCTCCGTTTTTTTTTTCATGAAGTACATACGCGGTTGTAGGCCAAATGCCAATATTTTAGCATGTTGGTGTAAACGTTGCCGTAAATAGTTCATGTCTTAGGACATGGCTGAAATTTTTAATTAATCACAATTTGCTTACGTGGTATAAAATGGTTATGACATCTGATTAATTTCTTATTGATATGACATTACTTTAGGCATGACCACTTGAGTCCGTCTCGCAAAATTGAACCAATCATTTTCTTGCTTCAACTTAAAAATGAGACCATTGCCAACTTTGCACACTTCTCCAAAGACTTTGACGTTTCAGTGGTTAAAGAACCGGTCCGATCTTGCTTTGAATGATTTTTATCACATTAGTTTTAGAATTTTCCTACTTTCAGTTTGAGAATACCTTGAAATGATTTCATTTGAACTTCAAAAATGTTAAAAGATACAATTTGATGTAGAATATGGCTACGCAAAGCATTTAAAGTAATTGCCCTTCAGTCCTAATGGAAATATATTTTCTAGATGAAATTACCAATCATGCCAGATTTGCACAGACTCAAACACTGCGCAATGTTTTCTCTGATCAACAACAGCTCATATTTATTGTGTTGGCAGAACGTTCGGTTAAGAACTCAGAACTGCATATCATCTATCATGGCACATCAGATGATAATTGTACCAAGGTGATTCACCTTGTTGGCTGATTTTTCCCCATTCCTTTCATATTTGACAAAACAGTGTGTGTATTAAAGGAGAACTGACACGCAAAAATAACTTTGGCTTATTCGATGCAAAATTTGTTGCTGACTTCAAATCTGGAAAAAGTTTTCTTCTAAGATTCGCCCTTTTTCTGATATTTGCACTTTTATCCGTCAAATACGTCACAGCCAGGACTCGGGAATTTCCCGAAGCGGAAACAGGATTATCGCCAGGAGTTGTTAAAATTCTCGGTTGACGTCACAAGTGACATGTTAACAATGCCGTTGTAAAGGCTTTCACCGCAACGGTGAAGGTACAAATGAAGTTTCGTGTTTTATTGAAAATAGTCCGCGTTGAAAAGACAAAAAATTGTCAGGCATTTCATTTATAAGTATAAAGAAACTAAAAAATCCTAGCTACATGTCTGCTAGGACGCTAATATCCACATGAAATTTATTTTTATGCCATGATATCTTCGAACCAGCATGCTTTGAAACATTGAAAGAACCTCTAAGCTTGTGAAAAAAGAGTAGACTTTGTTTGAAAACTGATACCGTTTCTTCAAAGTTTTTAATTTTATAATTACAAATAAAATCGCAACATGGGGGAGGTGGTAGGTTGAAGCAATAGCAAAAAGACGAACGAAATCTAGTGGAGACAGCGGTAAAAGCGATCCTGCAACCTGCTTTGGGTGCAGAAATATGAATTCAAGAAAAAATCTTGGTTGCTGGGAGCTGCGAGTGTGACTAAATAATAATTTCACTGAACTTGATTATTGTAACAGAGGTTGAGATACTAGGGAATAATCTGGTCTTGCAAAAAGACCTTCCCCCACCCAAGTCAAAATTGCTTGCAAAAGAAGATAATGCGCCAGTTGATATTCCTATGACAGCTAAACAGCATTTTCTTTGACTAAGATAAGAAATAAAGTTCTTTGACTAAGAGCTAAGAGCCTATTCCGTAAATCCAGATTTTTCGACTGCCAGGTAACTCATCAGTTCCCGAAACCCTTCACGCCCGGTGAAAATGGCATATAATCCGCACAAGTCGACTTTTAACCCTCCTTTACTATTTAATATCACGATACAGTTAATGCGTTTGAAGCATTGAAAAACAATAATAGAATGTCACATTGATAATGAATAACTTGCAGTTCCGTTTAGGGCATCATAGGCATTTCAGCGAATTAGGCCTCACAGACAAAGCAGTCTGGACAAAGACCCCTCAATCTGAAATGAAATTCTAGTTTTAGGATACCTGATCTCATTTAGATTGTAGCAATAGCATTTTTTTTAATAGAAATTCCATATCAGTTTGTAATTCCAGTCTGTACTTTGTTCATAACATCGTCACTGTTGAGCCATGGGACGACTGTCTGCCCAAGCGGCGGCGCTGGTTGGTAGCAAAAACTCAGACGGCTGAAATTTTCCATTTGTTTCGAAATCAGTGTAATAAAACTCGGATTCAGAGTCCCGAACCATTGAAAAAGTCAATTATGTGTCAAAAATGCAAAATTAGCTCCTTTCAAATGCACAAAATAAAGATTTGTCCGCAGCATTTTCTTAAAGGTTTCTATAGAGAAACACAATACGTGCTGAGAACATGTCACTTGTGACGTCAAAGATGATCGCTCACTCGTGACGATTTTCGCCTCGAGTCTCAAGTTGTCGGAGTAATTGTCGTTTCTCAACTTAAAACGCCTGTATTTCGAAAACGGTAACTATGATTATTAAAAATTTTTCGATCCCGGAATTTGCTTGTCACAAGCTACCGTTTTAGCCAAACTTATTTTTGCGTGTCAGTTCTCCTTTAAAGGCAGTCTGTCCCCTCCGTGATTGGCTAATCCTAACTTGAAGGTCGTCTTCTGCTTTTTTAGCATCCCAAATTAGTTATTGTAGGTGGACACGATAAAAATGCTAATCTTTATATGATCGAAACTGACTTGGACATTTGTCACCAAATCAAAACTCACTGCTACGCGCTCATAGAGAATACGCTTTGTTGGTCCTTTACACCGACTAGCAATTTGCGCATTAAACCAACGATGCATGAATATTGCGACCACGGAAAAAATTTTGAAAACACTGAGGAACAGACTCGGCTGTCTTTAAGATCATTGCGCTATTTAGCCGAAATTTGAAGAAGAAATCAGGTACTGGCGGTACACTAGCTGTTCAAGACTAGCCTGTGTTCCAGACCCCTAACTTGAAAGTAGAGGTCTTGGGCACAGGCTATTCAAGACACGCATCTTCGAACCCGATACTAGACATATTCCACTTAATTTTGTCCATAAAGTTTTATATCTTGTTGGGTCTTTACAAGACAAACAAAGTTCGACAAAAAAAGTATTTTATATTTAAACCAGGTGTAGGTGTTTGTTTGGTTACTTGTCATAATTTCCTTAAAAAAATTCTTAATCTTCTTCTTTTTTTATATATATTTGTTGTTTTTGTGTACTTACCCGTGGGCAGGGATATTTAGAACGCAAGCAATAATGAAATCTGTTAAACTGTATTTGAGCAGGGACTTTCCTGATATTTTTTATTTTTGATACATTCGGAAATCTGACGAGCAAACACCATTGCTATAAGCATCGAAAGTAAACGTTTAATGCCTTTGAAGCTACAAACACAAGAGTGTGCAATTAGCCAAATCGCAGTACCTCATCTGCTCGTACATCGACGCCACTAAAGCCATTCACAGAACCACCGGCAGTACGCTATTATTATTCCTACCATCCTACCATGATGCAACCAAAGTTTTGTCACATCATTCCAGCACTAACCACTACCACCAACACTTCCTCACATCACCCACAACTCCTTAAGGCGGGTTCTGCTATTCAGGCGATTCAGGCGATTCAGGTCACGCGATCGCGCGACTGCTGTTCTGGGCATGCGCATTAAACCCATTGGCAGTGATTCCCCTTTGCACTGGCGATCGCGCGATCGCTTTTGGGAGTTGAATAGATTTTAACTTTTCTGCGACCAGATTATCAAGAACCAATTAGATGTTTTGTTTTCTTGTCTGGTTTACGTAAAATGCCTCCTGTCTTGTTTTCTTTGGCGCTTGTCCAAAAAGTCAACTCCACGCTCTGCTACGCTGAGAAGAAGACGATAAGGATCGATCCAGAAGCCATGTCGCTCTAAAGTCAATTTCAGCAAAGTCAATCCC